TGCAATCCTGCCCACCCTCCCCTCACGGTCCTCAGCACACAGCCCCTCTCCCTCTCTGGATCCCTAGTCCCCAGCCACTCCATCTCTTCACGTCATCCTCTCTCTTCACGTCATCCTCTCTGTCTCAGTCTCAGGCCTCACTGCTCCTCTGGGTGGGGTCCCGCTCTCCGCTCTTCTCCATTGATGGTCCCAGGGCCCTCGGCTCCTAGACCGAAAGGTTAATCACTCCCCTTCTTGCTATAAAATGTCCACCTTTACATTTCCAGTCCTCACAATCAGTCCTGGTAACAATTATTCACCCTTGCATCCCAAGGGACCCATCTGCATTTCTTTTCATCTGCCCTTCCTAGACAGGTCGACTACTCCTCACTGGACACTCCACCATCCTCCCCGCCCTGTGGATCTAGGTTCCCTCTTGAAAGCTTGTAAGCCAGTCACTTCTTACCTTTGTATCCCTTCTCACATTTTGGTTAGTCAGTGTTCAAGATGGCCATCCCTATCTACTCTTTGTGTGGAGGGAGTGGGAACAGTTCTTGGAGGAAGGATTTATTTCCTATTTGAACTACTGCATTTATATGTGGATGACCAGTTTATCAAATTGTATCAGATGACGCTTTTTTCCTCTTCTTTCTTCTTCGGGTTGAGCTCTGTTCGTCCCATCATTGGAGCCATGGTGAGTGGGTATCATCTGCAGGTGTGGGTGTTCCTGCATCTGTCCGCCCTCTTCGGTCTCCACTCTAGTCCTCTGTGGATGTGTCACTGACTCTGAGCTCATGAGTCCCCAGGTCTTGCCTCACTGCTGGCCGACCAGGTCTCCACCTGGGTTCACCATAGTCTGCTGAACAATGCAGGGCTTAGCTCGCTACTTCTTGGATGTTCTTTGGTCACTTCTCTTTATGGGTGATGTGCATGGTCGCCAATCAGAACGCGTTTTCCCATTGCATCTTAGTCTTGGAGGAGGATTTGCACTGAGAGGACCTGATCACTTGCCTTGATGTCTCCTGGGCAGACAGCTTGCTTGTTCTTGTGGTTACAGTCGGACTGCCCTT